GAATCTTACCTTTATCTTTATTTTATCTTTATTTTATAAATATAAAGACTTTATTTATCTTTATATTTGAAATTATTTGAAATATAAAGATTTTATTTATATTTATTCTTTAATATAAAGGTGGTTAAAGATAAAATAACACCCTTAATTGGAATGAATTGACATTGTCTCATCTCCATTCATCTGACAATGACGATGACTAATACTGAGGAATAAATGAAAGAATTTTGAAAAAATTTTTAAAGTCTAGTCCTTCGAGTACAACTCAACTCGGCTCGACTAGACAGTGTGTCTCATGTGATTCGACTCCACTCGGTATGAACCTAGTCGAGTTGAGTCGATTTGCCGAGTATTCGACTCGTTTTCGGTCTCTGGTCCCGTGCTCGATGAGTTTCTAAAATTATTTTCCCGTCCCACCCGCTCCATGGCAACTTAGCCTCGTGCTCCGCCAGCCCCCGTGTCTTGTAAAAAAAAACTAAAAAAATATCTGATTGTAATCGATTTTTTCTGATTTACTTGTTCTTCGTTGTGTGAATCAAAATCAGATCAATCATATATGTGTTGTAGTCCCTCCAGAACAGTGATTATCGACAAATTTCCATCGTTTTTCGTATATACTAGAGAAATTTTAAAAAAGAATTTCGACCCACCCCGCCCCGCTCTGTAACTGTTCAGCCTCGTGTTCCGTCGAGCCCCACCGATCTGCGAACAGCTCAGCCCCGCCCCACGGGACCCCAGTGCCCCGTACATCTATGATTTACTCTGATCTACAAGTTAGTACATGAGATCGTCAGAGTTCATATCACTGGTTGTTCACAAACCTGACTTCTCATTCTAAGAATTCTGATCTAATTGTACGGCAAAAACATAGATGTCGCAATTTTATGTGTCGTCGTACGATATACTTCTATCTTGCTTGAATGACATTATAAAAGGTACCTAACAATGACATCGCTCGCTGTTGATAATTTCGCATTTTTTCATTCAAGATATGGCGCCAGATGGCCCGTGAAATATCGATTATCTAAATAAATGCTATTAGAATTAGAAAGAAAGAACAGTCACAATTTAGTTTAATCTATATCTGAAGGAATGAAGTTGTGTAACTGAGATCTTCCAAGAAACCCCACATGTTCTTGTTAAACTCATGCTCGTTTCGTTGATGAATGTGGCTTATTCCCTCAATTAATACCAAGGTTTTCAAAGTGGTTATGGAGTTGCGTAGATTATTTGATCATTCACCTCACTCTCTCTGTTCTTCCCTATGATCAAACATAATATTTCAGAGATTCCTCAATCGATTCCTTGATGACATGATTCATGAACAGCTCCATAGTTGTCCAGCATCTCATGACAGAAACAGAATAAAATGATTCACTTTGATTTATCTCTGCTTCATTTAGCTATCCCAATAGTTTTTCACCATTTCAAGAGACACATCGAATAAGTTAGTTTAGTTTAAGTTTCTCTTTCTTGATTTACTTTTCTTGATATTTGTCACGCATTTTATGAGAGAAATAGAATAAGATGATTTTCTTTTTACTTTTTTTTTCTTCATTTGTTTACCCTGTTCGCTGCCGTGCATTTTATGAGACAAATAGAATAAGGTGATTTTGTTTTTTACTTTACTTTTCTTTTCTTTTGTTTTCTTTGTTTAGTTACCCTGGTAGCCGTCGCACATTTTATGAAAGAAATAGAATGAGAAAATTATCTTTACTTTTCTTTTCTTCATTTAGTTATACTGATAGTTTTCAAACGTTTTATGAGGGAAACAGAATAGGTTTGTTTAGTTTAATTTTATCTTTCTCTATTTAGTTATCCTGATAGTTGTCGTGCATCTTATGAGAGAAGTCGAATAGCTTATTTTACTTTTATTTGTTCTTTTTTTTTGATTCAGTTCTGCTGACGGTTGGTGAGGATATTATAAGAGAAACAAAGAAAGATAATTTACTGTTTACTGTTCTTTTCATGATCTTGCTGTTGCTATAGTTTTCCGGCATTTTATAAGGCGGATGAAACGAAACGGTTTAGTTTCATAGTGTTTTTGCATATAGTCTATTGTGTTCTTTCGCTTGAAAAATAATTGGGTGCTATCAAGCTTTCAACCATTGTAGATCTTTAAGGGAGGATCCATGTGGCTAGCACTCAAAACAGCAGAGATCGGTTGCCCAAAGATGTTATTTTTTACAATGCGTTTGCTCGTTCGAAAGAGTATATAAAGTTACTCAGAAACACAAATTTCAAAATATCCGTCCGTCAAAAACTATGCTTTTTAAATCATTTTTGTTTATGAACTTTTTGACCGGAAAAAAGTTGTTCAAAACTATTATCAAATTATACCAATCAATAGAATGGAACCTGCTCTACAAAACCCTATATCTCCTATATGTTATTATGTATCTTCGAAATGGAAAAACATCATAATAACAGGTGAGTTCGATCACTTTTATTATTAAATAAGTTTGTATCGATTTTCTCCCATTGATGTAGACTCGTGTATGTCTTTTGAATCACTATTTGATTTGTATTCGGTAGACATTGTCATAAATTTTTCGAATGATTTGATATTTACGGTGTATGGTTAGTTATTGATCACGCGATGTTACCTATTCCTTTTCGTCTTTTGAACAGATCAAGGCAATGATTACTGATCGCTAGAAATACAAGAAGGATGAATTTTTGCCTTATTTGAAATCTTTTATATGCATTACGGCAGTCGATTGAATGTTAGCATCTTATGGTAATTCAATTCTTTTTTTATTCATTTCTTTCTCAGCATGGGCTTGATTGTTGAAGTGGTGTATTTCTTTATTGCTTCTCTATAGGTGTCACTGATGACTTATTTTTTTTTTAGTATATCATTCTCATAAATTGAAAATTATTTATACGCAAAATTCTGAATCGACAATAGTTTGTTTTTTCTCATCTTTCTTATCTATGCTTTTGATCGAATCCAAAACTATTGTCTTCATTCTACTTTCAAAACTTGAGTACCAATATGTCATTGTAACTAAGCAGTAGTGTTTCATCTTTGTTTCTATCAACCTATTATTGTTGATTTGAAAAAGGGAAAATAATGGATATGAATAAAGAAAGTGTTAGCGTCCATGATAACTCACTTGGACGCTAAACGATGATTAAGATGCGCCTTCTAGTCTAATTGGCTTAAACATCTGCCCGGATAGCAGAAGGTATGGGTTCGATTCCCATGAAGGTCATCTTTTTCATCGTTCTGTCACATAACATCAGTGACACTGCTTGTCCCTTTCGTTCTATACATATGAGAGCTAACAGAAACGATTTAATTCTTCGTGGAAAAGGTAACACAAGTTAGTAGACGATGAGGCAAACGAGATAGAGTGGAATTCCAGAATTCCGCTCTTTCTCCCGTGCAATGAGTTCTTCTAATGTCTTACTCAATTTTACACTTGAATTTAGGTTTCTTGTGACGAAATATTTAAAAATGATGCATAGTGACCATTATTATCGTGCACTTTTCGAGACGTTGCTACTGCTTTAGAACCAATATTTTTTTTATGACAAGATGCATCTTTTGACGCTCTACAAAACTATAGAAAATTTATATCAGGCTCTTGAAAAGTAACTACATCAGAGAAACAACAATGGTAAAAGACAGCATGTAAATTAGACCAAAAAAAATGATCGAACTCACCTGTTATAATGATTTTTTTCGGTTTCGAGAGTACATAATAACATATAGGAGATATTAGATTTTGTAGAGGAGCATTTGCTCCATTGATTGGTATAATTTGTTAATTATAGAAATATTTTTGATGGGAAAAATATAATCTGAACCGACAAATAAATTTTTTAAATAAACCATCGTATTTCAGCTGACATATTGAAATTTAGACGAGTCTTTTGAATAAATACAAACATATTAGAAACTTTTGTACATATATATTTTTGTCTATCTCAAATTAATCATTGTCGTTTTAGAAGAATACAAATGTCGTCTAAAAAACATATTATGTTATCCTATCAATGGGATAATCAAAAAATTGTAACAGAAGTTTATCGGCGTCTTAGTGAAAAAAAGATTCCACTATGGATGGATATACAAGGTGGAATGAAAGGTCATTTAAGTGAAAGGTAAACTTTTTTTTTGCTAATATTATCATAATAATATTTTGTTTAAGTATGGCAGCAGGAGTAGAAAATGCAGTAGCTATATGTTGTTTTTTGACACCGAAATATCAAGATAGTGTTGCATGTAAAGATGAATTAACTTATGCAAAAGAACAAGGTGTATGTATTATTCCAATACGTTTAATAGCAAATTGGAAACCAACAGGTTGGTTAGGTTTTACTATAACAGGACATAAATGGATTGATTTTCGTGATATTGATACAAATATGGATTTAAGAATTCAACAGTTAATTAATGAAATTCGAATGTTAGTTGGAAATAAACTCGATTGTTTTAAAGATATGGAACCATTGGATTTTGTGCATGATGAAGACGAAAAAGAAGAAGAGCATAATGAAGAACATTCCTTTACTATAAGTGAGTATGAAAAACAATATATTACAAAATATTTTGATTTCAGCTATCCAGGAGTACATGAGATATCTTTGCAGTTGTCTCAGCAAATTCTGGTTGTTTATGACTTAAAATTTCTAAATAGAATGAGTAATCAGACATGTATGCGCTGTATTACTTATTTTTGGCTATAGGAATCAATATATTATTCTAGTATAGTTTGTGAAAGTTTAGAAGGTGTCTATGATATTTCGAAGTAGTATTTGTTGACTTTTTTTATAAATATGAGCGATTAACAATGCTTTATCAGTGATGAAAGAATCAACCCATTTGATCAAAATATAGATGAGATATTCAAACTTTTCTTGTTAAATGAATTATTGGACATTCTGCATCAATTGTCATGCTGAGCTTTATACCCTATAACCGAAGAATCTAGTTTTTCAAAGTCAACCGTTATGTTACTGTCAGTTGGTCATCTTTGTCCGCTGAGAGTTACAAGCATTGATCTTTTGCTTTAAAGTAACTGCTGTCGGAAAGCAAACATCACAGGAGAGTAATTGTCTGGAAGTAACTCTTTGGTTATCTGACGATCAAAATACTAATGAATATTTTATTTTGAAAGAAAATCATAAGTGTCGTATTTTAAGAAGAAAATAATTCTTAAAGATAAAAATGGATTTTGTACAGGCAATCAAATGAGAAATTTTCCGTTATCTAGCAACTGCTAACGTAACAGTGACTGACCTCCCCTAGTTCAATTTGATTTCGAATATTTTCTATTCAAATACGTCTCGCATGGAAAAGATAATCTTTTTTTATTTATAGAAATATAGAGGTATATATGGTGCATTTGACAAGACAGTACCACATTCTCCAATGAGCCATATTCACAAACGATAGATATAGTATCTGTTGGTTGTCAGATAGTTGGAAGACTCACCATATAGAATGTGTGAGTAATATAGAAAGAACAAAAAAGAAAAGAAAATAGTTCCAATCAGTAAAATACAGATCGTTTCCTGTGAAACTGAGACTCCTCTATTTAAAACAATAATAATTAAATTCTGTGTGAATACAGTAATGATGATATGATCACTCTTAAAGTAGATGTGTCTCTGTTTTTTTATTATTCATATTATAGTCGACAAACAAGACTTTGATCCAACTTCATATTATCGTTTAACAACACAATGGCAAGGCAATAATAAATCTCTTGATGTTGTCAATGATGGTAAAAATAATAATCAACTTATACTTGCTACAACTGGTAATTATAGTGGACAATATTGGAAGATTACTCCAACTGATAATGGATTTTATCGTTTAACTACACAATGGCAAGGGGACAAGAAATCTCTTGATGTTGTTAATGATGGAAAAAATAATAATCGGCTTATACTTGCTAAAACTGGTAATTATAGTGGACAATCTTGGAGGATTACAGCGACTGGTAATGGATTTTATCGTTTAACTACACAATGGCAAGGTGATGATAAATCGCTTAGTATTGTCAAAGATGGTAAAAATAATAATCAGCTTATACTTGCTAAAACTAGTGATTGTCAGGAACAATATTGGAAAATAACAAAAGTGTGATATATGAATGAATAATTTACAATTAAATTGACTCATAAATAATTTTACAAAAAGAATATCATATAAACATTCATTAAATAATTTTATCAGCATATCTTAAGACAAATAAGATTTCTATATATCGATAAGTTTGTAACATTTAACAGGACTTTCTTATTATCGATCAACGTAATCGATTATAATATTTTCTTTTTATTTTAAATAACATTATAGTTTCAGATTTCAAGATTTTATCATTTCTAAGAAGTAAAAATAAATTCAAAGCCGAAAAGATTTCTCGATATCAGTATTATATTTCGTTCAATAGCTAACCATGTCAATACGTATAGTATTGGTACGCATGTCATCATGCTTCGTACGCCAGACGTACACCCTCGCCATACTTGTGACGAACGTAACGCAACTTCACGTGTACGGAGAGTGCCGTCACACATACGCACTATGACATATTACACACTATTTTCTCCCTGACTTTTTCCATACAAAATTATGTTCAAATACCATAACTAGTTGAAGATTCAGCCACTTCTTGGAAGATGCGTCCTCGATTTCTGTCCTGATTATGTGATCCTTTTTATCTAATGGTACATGTCTCCCGCGGATGTTCATAGTCCTCAAAATACATTAACAATCAGATAGTTTAATTGATAAAATAACCAGTCCGATATTCAGAGTTATAGGTCCGAGTCTTGTTCGGATTTTGTGATCCTCATTTAGATAGTCGTTCGTGCTATTTGAAGTATGTCATTGTGGATATTCGATAAAGTTCTTTTTTGGTACTCTAATTGTGAGCAGATAAAATGAAAGATTATCTTTATCTTTCTCAGAAATTTATATCATATTCACCATCACCTTTTTTTTATTAATGACAATTATTGGTTGAAGGATAAGGATGTTTGTATATATTTAATCTTTTAATCATTGTATTTCAGCGTTTAGATAGCTCAACATTACTAAATTAGTTCATCATTGTTGAATAATAATATTAAATTACTAGGATAGATCGTCATCGATAATAATTGTGACGATTCTTTTAGAATCTCTAATAAGCCTTTGATGATACATTTTTCGAACATTGACATATTTAATTATTTTCAATTAAAAAGTCAACAATCA